CATAGTTACGACAAATGCAGCTTTACAATTTTTAGGTGAAATCCATGTCTTTTATGAAGGGGGAAAATGATCAGTGCATGGTTAGATAAGGAAACTAAAGAGGCTTGAATAAAGCATACGATTTAGGTATATAAATATATATAAATGTACACATATATATATGCAATCTAGATAGATAGATAGATACAATCTAGCTATGCAATCTGTATAAATGCAATCTATCTATCTATATCTATCCATATATATGCAATCATATATATATATTTATCATATATCCCACAATCATAAATATCATATATATGATTCTGATTATATATCACAATCATGTATATAATATATATGATTGTGATATATATGATAAATATATATATGATTGTATATCTATAGATAGATTAAATATATATATAGATATATTGATTGTATACATAGATTGCCTATATATGCATATATAGATTACAGGTAGATTGCATATATAGATTACAGATAGCATCTATCTATCTATCTATCTATGCTTTATTCAAGCCTCTTTAGTTTCCTTATCTAGATTTCCAGTGATAATTTTTATGATTGCATATCTATAGATAGGTATTGCATTGTGATATGCAAATCATTTTTTGTTTGAAGTCCAGAGATGGTCTTGATAATTAATGGTAAATATGTTCATCTTATGTGCTGTGGGAGAGAGAGAAAATAGTGCCAGATCTGAAGCCCCAAGAAGCCTTTTTTCCTCCCCTGCAAGTTTCAAAGACATATTTTTTGGAAGGACTTATTTGGACACAGAGACAGCTCCTGGTCCAGACTGGTGTCACTGGTGGGTCATTCCAGTAAAAGTCCTGGCTGGAGCAGAGTCCCAGTGCTCTGTAGAGGAACCAGTTACAGGATATAGAAAAGTATCCACAGTGATTATGGAATAAAAGCTTTTGTTTTTGAGGCAGAGTTTTAAAGGGAGGTTGTTTTTTGCTCAGGCACTACATTACATCTCTTTGGTTTGTGGCTGTTTTGTTTTATTTTAGCCTTTTAGCCCAGAGTGGTTCTTGTTGCCTCAGGTTAAAAAAAATGTAAGGTAAGAAAGGGAAACAGTCTTGATGCCTGCTTTTCTGCCTGTATGCTTATGAGCACAAATGTTCTTTGATGTTTTGGTCACTAGAGAGGAAGCAAGGCAGTTCCTAAGGTGCCTCTGGGCCAGGCAAAATGCAGTACAACTCAGAGGAAGGACTCAGTTAGCTGCTGAGCCATAAAAACAAGCTGGATGGATTGCTGCAGACACGTGTCAGTCAAACACTTGGTCACATTTCCAGTATCCATGCCACATGCCTCAGCTCTGGCGAAGAGGGATATTTAGCTAGCTTTCCCTGTCAGCAGGAGGGGAGCTTTGGCTTGGTCAAAATGTAAGCGTTTTGCTGGTATTGTCAGTCAGTCAGGAATATAATTTAACCCTTCTGACCATGCCTAACACAACTAAAATAGCAAAAGTTGTAGTCGAAGTACAGTTATATCAGCAACCTTTTGCTATTAAAGGTTACTTCAGGGGACTGTTGTAAGCCACACCGGGCACGTCTACATGAGACGCTTACTGCGCATTAGCCTAATAGTACTGTGCAGTAGCATGTCACAACAAAAATTGTGCTAATAGCCTAATAACACTGCTCGGCAGGCTAGCGCGCAGTAAGTGTCACTAAATAACCATGCACTGGCGCAACTGCGAAGTAACTATAGTTACTGCGCGTTCAGTTAGTATTTCATTTAAAAAGTACTAAACTAAATGTGTAGTAATTAGGGTGAATCTGATCTCTTTTATTAGACCAACCCAAATAGTTGGAGAATAGTTATTAAGCTTAATAACTATTCTCCAACTATTTGGGTTGGTCTAATAAAAGAGATCAGATTCACCCAAGGAACTTTGTCTGCCTATGTCCTTAGACCAACATGGCTACAACCTACACCTCTAGTAATTAGGGCACATTAATGAATGTGCCCTACACATTAATGAACGTGTAGATGTGCCCACTAGCAAAGAAAACCCACTGTCTCTCTACCAAGTGGGTTTTCTACTCTACCACAATTGGTATCCCCGTAGCAGCAAAAGCTTATATGTAGCAAGCACTAGCCTTGAGCCTGAGGCCTGTTCAAAGGCCAGTCTATGCCCAGGGGGGTTTTAAATCTGGAGTTACTTTGTGCAGCTGAACCTGACCATTCCTGATGTGGGTTTCTGAAGCCGTGAGTAGTCCAACTTGGCACTTCCGGGCTTATTTTCCAGCACAGCTTCCTAGCAGGTCATTGTTGCCGCATCACCCATGTACACTTACAGATAGAGCTGGGCGCTGTGTGACTGAACAGAGCAAAAAGGATTAGGTTCATCTTGGCCTGGTGCAGACTTCGCTGTGGAACAGGTGGCTTATGGGGCTAGAGCATTTTACCAGTGCTGGTTTCCAGAGGCAGGTTTCCTTTTCTTACCTGCTTGCAGTCCAGGGCTCCCAAAAGCCAAAGGGCTCTCCATAGACTCTCCCCTCCATCCCCCCCATCCCCAAATCAGGCTGCTCAAGACATTTCACTCCAGCTTTAGGCACTGGAGATATGAAACATCAGGAAGACTCATGTGTGGTGACTGCTTTGGAAAGAGAAGGCTAAAGGAGGCACTGAAAAGGGGATTGGTGTGAAATCCAGGTGTTGAACATGGGTGAATTGTGCCAAGAATTTGGATGCACCAGATGAGTGAAGGCCAAGTGCTCCTTGGCTTGCTTTTGGCAGGGCTAGAGGCAGGGAGGAGGCAGGCAGCAGGCTGAGGCAGGTGACCTTGCAGGATGGGGCAGCAGGGATCTGAAGGGGGGCTCACATGTTGCAGCCCAAGCCTTGGCGTGCATATAGCACACGGCTGGCTCATACAGTTGCCAGACTCTGGGATGGAGGAAGGTGAACAGCTGCAGCCCCGGACCTGACGCAGCTGGTGCTTTAGCTTGCCTGGGAAGAGCTCGTGCTTTTAGGGCATGTGCATAGGATGCAACCCAGCACTGCATGGGGATACTGAGCTGTGAGCGCACCTCCTCCAGAATTGGTGGCCATGCAATTTATGCTGTGCCCCAACTCGCTTCATTTGGTAGGGGGGGAGTGCTAATGATCTCTGCTGAGAAGCTGGACTGGTTAGCCTGAGAGATGTAGTGTTAATGCAGCTGTACTGTTGGTGGGGCCTGAGTTACCTCTAGGGCAGAGGCTGAACACCTCAGGTAAAAGAGGGGGGGGCACTGAGGTTAAGGTGGGGGAAACCACTGAGGTTAAGACGTTATCCTGGGAGGCAGGATGCCTTGGTGGGGGGGTCAGTTTATGACTGCCGATTCTCTATGACGTGGACAAATTGCTGAGCCCTAGTGCCAGAAAGGTGCTGACATTGCTAGCTTCCACTAATGTGGAAGGCCTTTGAGATCATGAGCCTGAGTTTTCTACCTGTAAAATGGGGATAAAGGTGATATAATACCCAGTGCTCATGAAGCTCGAAGTCCACTAATAGTTGTGAGGTGCAAGTAGCAGTGTTAAAGACGGAGTCAGTTTGCTGCGTGACTGCTCAGCATGAACAGCAGGGAAATGCTGAAGACAGGGGCATGCCCAAAATCTGGCCCCTTCCTCAGGGTTACAAGGCACCCTCACACCTGGTGCCCTCTCTTGAAAGCAGGTGCCTACGCCCAGTCTTTCAAAGAGCTGCATAATGTATGGAAAGAGGAGGACTGACCTTATCTAGTGACTGCTCCACGCAGAAATTAAGTAGTAAGGCAGGACTTGAAGTCAGGTTTCTGCTGTATGAGGTCAGGGACTTAAGAACCTGCCTTATTAGCTCAATGGTTATTTGCCGGCTGACTTTGGTCTCAGGGCTTTTTGAATGCTTGTCGACATTAGTGGCACACATTCATAGGGGAGGGGTGAAAAGGGTGCCTCTGGGTGTTTCCTGGTGGGTTAAGGTGCTTGCCTGAGCCATGTGAGAGCTGGGCTTGAGACCTAACGCTGATGCGGGTCCTGGGGAGAGTCTGAAAGCAGGTGATTGACTTGCTGTAATGGGAGACGCACACTGGATTACATCGGTAGCTGACAGATGTGCTCAGAGGTTGCCCGCCTCTTTTCAAACACTCACAGACGAGCCCTCCAACCCACAAGCTAATGGAGGGGGAATGCTGCTTCTTGGTGTCTGTAAGTCAGTAATCCTGGAGTCAGGCAGTGAGAGAACAAGGGAGAGATTGCAAGACAGCAAAACAATGCATGCCATAGCGTGGTGGTTAGGGCTCACATCTGATGTGTGGGCAATGCGAGTTCAAGACCTGGTGCCACTGATTGGCTTCTTACTTGCACACTAAATTATCAACTAGGGAACAGCATCAGCAAGTCAAGTTGTGGGCCTCTCTGCTGCTGGTGTGTCAGAGCACTGGGCTCAAGCCGAGCAGGGATTTGTAATAGAGCTCCTGCCTCCTCAGTGAATACTTTCATTCCCAAGGTTATTGCATAAATGGGACCATCTGGCTGCTGCTTGAGACCAGTTGGTTAGGCACCCTTGAGCATGGATGGAACCGAGCAGCCTAATAGGGTCAGGGCTAGATGTCTTTGCACCAAGACCACTTTGCGGGAAGCTGCGAGGCTCTCTGGGGAGCCTAAGCACCTAAGGCCCTCAGTGGACCTCCGCATCAGCATGTCCTCACTCAGTGCATCCACACTAGCATCCAAGCATTTGCAATTTGAAGCGTGGAAGGCAAGATGTATCAAGGCCTGGCTTCTGCCTTAGCCTGCTACAAGGGGGCTTGTGCTTGTCTGCAGTGGGGAATGCAGCAGCTTACTGGCAAAATGCGTTGTGTGCTGCAAAGGCTCATATGAATGTATTACTGGCCCATGCAAAAGCTCTCCCTCTTTGCCTGGTCTGGCCCGCCTGCTTTTGATTGTCACCTGTGGCTCTCCCTGCCTGCAGCAGCTCTCGCTTCATTCTAGACTGCACAGGGAGGGTTTTTACCGTCTCCAATTATTCACAGGAGTGGAACGAGCCGTGTTCAATCCAAAGACTACGGGGTTTCATGAGGGAAGCCAGCCTCGGAAAGTGTGAGGACTAGGTGGAACGCTCCATGGCAAGAAGCGGCTCATTGCTCTGGTTTGGATGATGCCCTGGGCTTCGCTGATGCGTCACGCTCTATCGGAGCAGGCTGCTGGAGTGCAAGGACCCGACAACTATGCAATCTGCTGGCAAATCTTTCAGGTTTGGAGGGCATCTTGTGCAGATGAGACTGGAAGGAACTGCCAGCTGCTGCTGGAACCTCCTGTTACCTAAGGGCCACAACCTGGTTTGGGCCTGGAAGGTATCCTCATCAACACCTTCCCCACCTTGATCTTTGCAAGTGAACCTTCAAACCATCTTCTTAATGAATAAACTGTAAAATTAAAAAAAAAAAAACACCCAAGTGAAAAGAAAATGCCTTTATTCTTGGAGGAGGCGGGAGGGCTCTTACAGCTCGGCCTGTCATTGTTTTTCTAAGGCAGACATACATAAAAAGACTCCATAGTTTAGTCTGAAGACATCTGAATAGTTATTTATTGAGAAGCCACAGTTCTCACACTCTTACAACTGTCGGCTTGTATAAGGCAAAAGCAAGATGGATCCACTATTTTACACAGAAAGTAAAAGCTTCTGGAGGGGGGAACTCGGGGACATGCACGTACTGGTCAAAAATGCAAATGTACATGACATATAAAACCATTGTGAAACAAAGGAATCAAAATGATGGTTACAGTCTACCAAAAGAAATGAGAGTCATATAGTTTTATAAACACGTTTATATAGGCTAAGGTTGTATTTCGAGGTGCCTTTGTACATACACAGTTATCTGAACCTTAAACAAAGTGTAACATTGAGAGGGGGGGCAGTCAGCAACATAGAACAACTTCTGTGGGGCGTACCGTGGCATGATGTACCCATGAGGATAGGATGAATCTGCCGGAGCAGTCAGAATCACTAACCCATTGGGATGCAACCTCTCCGGAGTTAGCTGCACGTTCAAGGCAAATGCCTGGTTTATTAAACAGGGAGGCAGCACGAGTCAAACGGCCGGTTTCTTTTTTTGTTTTGCTTTGTTTTTTAATGAACAGAGAGAACAAAAAAAAAACTCCTTGGTAGCAGCCTGACTTTTCTTTTAAAAACATAGCTGTTTTTATTAATTTTAAGCAGTTGGCATCCACAGGAGAGAAACAAAGAAATGAAAAGACTCAGTTCACTCATCTTCACAAAAGTTTACCATCAGTGTATATACAGTACATTAATGACGCGTCGTTTAAACTTGAATTGTAACAGGGACACACCTAGCGTGTTTTTCTATGTAGTTTTCCATTAACAGTATTAAACAATGGTGCTCCATATTGCTTATGAACATATAGATATGAAATTAGGAAACCAATGAATCAAAGAGAGGTGCTAATCTTATTACCACACAGCTAAAATGGCATTTGTATCGGTCAACTTCTCATGGGCATTTAGAGCGGACAGAAAAGTTCCTAATGTGGCTAACTGAATAACAGACTAGGTACATGCACTGGTTACCAGGCTATCACCAAGTGGGCCTCTAAACCACATTAGCTAATCATCCTCTTCGTCTTCTTCGTCACTGTCCTTCATCGTTATGCCCTGAAGACCTCCACCTTCGCTAACGGAAGCTGTGGCTTCTTCTACAGTCAGCCGGTTTCGCACTGTGTCATAGGTTTTGCTGTTTAAGGTGGAGTCCAGTACCCCTTGCAATCGGAAATCTCTATAGTTTTTCTAAGAGGGAAAGAGACGTGTCAGGGGGGAGGGAGGCAACAGACAGCACCGAGTCAGATTTAAATGCCCAGCAGTGGTGTCTAGTGCCTCACTTCAACATCACCTGGACCATTAGCCTGAAAGGACATGACTAGGCTGAAGTCAGAGGCCCGATTCTTATCATCACGGAGGGTTTTTTACAATTCTCTTGAACTGCAAAGAGGCCTTAAACCATGTGGAGTGGCAATTCGTGCCCCCTTGACATGGACAGAGAGGTACAACGGTCAAAGTCAGGTCCAAAGAGCAAGTTTGGCCCCTTCACTTCAGTGGGGGTTGTGCCTTCATGAGGACTCCAGAATCAGGCCTACTGGGTCAACGGCACAGAGGCTGCAAAGCAAACCCGGGTACGTCTATGCTGTATACTGCAGCCTACTGTAGAGATGCCCAGCTTAGTTTTACAAGAGCTGGCTCGGGTACTAGCAGCAGTCTCCCCGTGGCAGCATGGAGCGCTGCATGGGCTAAATGACCCTGTTCCTAGATGTACTCCGTTCCCTTTCACAATGTACTGTTGCAGCACGTGGTTTCTTCTTTAAAACATAACACTGCAGCCTGTGAATGGGAAGCATGCTAACACATCGCCAGAACACTCTGCTTTCCTGAAAGGGAAATAGTGTAAATACCCGTATCGAGTGTGTATGTTGATCTCTTCCCCTGCTTTCCTCGCTACAGCAGTTTGGTTAGTTAGCAGGCTGGTGGAATTAAGAGTTAAACCTAGTCTCCTTCTATATAAATTAGGTTAGATCTTCCTGTTGGGTATGACTTAGTGGTACAACTCCAGCCCTTTTACAAAGCTTGCAAATATATATATATATATATATATATATTTGCATCTATTTAGTTGGTCTGATAAAAAGATATCACCTCTACCCAAAGAGTTTTGTCTGCCTATCCTCTTAGACCAACACGGCTACAACCAATAGCCCTTGCATAATGAATTGAACCACATGCTATGAATTAGTAACTGCTTTAAGTAGTTACTTTGCGGATCCAAAAAAGTTCTCAGATTAGTTTTTGCTGCTGCTCAAAGCAATATTTAAAAAACAGGAAAAAAAAAAAGAATTCCTTGTCTAATGACTAATATGCCTCTTGTTTTCATTTCTGAACAGCACATTTCTGCCTGAATGCATTCAGGCTTTGAATCTGTGCTCTGCGTACAGGAGAGCACAAGCATTTTAAAACGAGACCAAAAAAAATATCAGATAGAACCTAAATGATCAAAAATTTATTTACCCCCTTCTGGGATCTTATTATTTCATGTAAACCACTGTGATTTCACACTGAAATAATTATCATTAGTCCAAGACGTGCACCCGAGCATGCAGAAAAATATGCTCCTTTCAGGGTATGTTATCTCACCTTTGTGATCTCTTAGAGTTGATTTTATACACCCATTGTCAAAGAAACAGCTTCAATTAACTTTGAGAACAATCATGATTTGCATTTTACAATAATCACAAGACATATTTAAACATTGTTGGGAGTAAATATCCCCATTCAACCAAGTGTTACAAACTTTATGTTTAATTAAACCCCAGATTAAAAATGATTATTTGGCATGATTTCTTTGCACGTGGAAAAAAAAAGTTAATTTTTTGGGACGTTCGTGTTTGCAAAGTCACACACAAATCGTTACCTTTACTATCCTAATAAGGGTTTTCAGTTGGTAAATGTGAAGCTGCAGGTCCATGCGGTCCGTCAGCCAGGTGCACATGACATTCATTGAGCTGGTGTACCATTGCTGCAAGAGAGACAAGAGTTCTCCAGCAAACACAGCGCGGGAGCACGGTGTGACATGAATCAACACAAGCAGGACTGACCTTTTTCTGTTTGCCAACCTGCTAACTTCCTCTGACAGGATTACAGGGGAACGCTTTTTTTTTTTTCTTTCTTTCTTTTTTTTTTTGGAATGCACTTTCCATGAATGAGCATTTTTAGCAATTGATTCTTTTTTTTGGCCTGAAAAGGGGTTATTAAATAGAACTTGTGTTCAAAGACTCAAGCAACTTTCAGCACAGCTTGTCCATCCACAGCCTTTTCACCAAGAGGTTTTATGGGAACACTGATGAGTGCCAAAGGAGCACGGCAGGCTCTCCCACCGTGCGGCTGTAGAGTCGGTGTGCCAGCAACAACACTGGGTTAGTCCCTAGAGTTCCCCCCCAGTAGTAGTGTGACCCAGCCACTGAAAGTGTCCAACCCAAGATGCTTGTGCCACTTACCTGTTGGGAACTTCAAACCCAATCCGCTGAAGGAGGCAGCTTGTTCCCCGAGAGGACAAGGGGGTACTAACACACTGCAGCTCTGTCCTAACATCAAGTTTTATTTGCAGATAGACTGACACAGGAGCGTATGGGGCCTTTTATTGGCAGCACAAGCTGCTGCAGTCTCAACCCCAGAGCTATCAGAGAGGTAAAAGCACATAGCCAACGAGCTCATTTCAAGCTGTTGAAATCATAGTTCCCCTCCTAGGGCTGAAATTTTGCTTCTTGTCTGTGAAAAGCACTTGCAGCGGTGTCACAGCACACTGTCACCCCTGCAGAGCAGGAAGCCTCTGGTGGGCTCCGGGTTTAGAGCACTGCTCATATATTCATAAATCCTATTCAGACGCGCAGGATCAGCGTTCCCAAATGGCAGGATGGAAATGTGTTGGGAGGGGGGAAGCATAAAATGTCACCACTTCCTGCTCCACTTCCCATCATCAACAAAGCAATTTTCTATGCAATTAAGAGTTGTGCCGGGAACCCCCAGATATGCATACACTTACCACACCTATACGCTCGTGGAGAAAGGAGTCTTTTCACAGGCAACAACACAGAGAGAGATTTCATTGAATGCCAGTTAAAAATACTTTTTCTGTACCCACTTTCCCACTGCCCTCTCTGAGGAAACTTCTGCATCCGTTTAACATTTGTAGCTTTTGTCAATAGTACTTTAAGCTTGACATTTTTATTTCCTCTTGAAAAGTGGAACTAGATGACTTCGCTCTTAAATTATTTCCCCATCAGTGATCTTTTTTAAGATCGCTCACTGAAGATCAGCAGCTAGGGTTGCTGTTCTCACTGCTCTACTTCACTAGATGCTCATAAAATCACCCAAGAAACATTCACGGTGAAGATGCCAGACCTTCATGCTTTGATATTATTAACACAAAGGTGTTTCCTTTTTCAAACGGGCCAACACATTGCTATATCACAGCCAGGCTCTCTGCTGAGACAATCAGGTGAAACTGCATCAGAGGCAAGCAGCGATAAGAGTTGGATATTTCAAATTCAGCAAATGGGGAATACATTTTTTTAAATGATGAAAGTTTGACTTTCAAACTTTTCAAATGAAACTTCACAACTTTTGAAGCAACACCTACCACCCCAACTAAAAGAATAAAGGATTAGAAACCCAATGGATGAAACAAAACTTGTTGGGGGATCAAACAAAACACTTCAGGTTGACTCCAAACCTAACTTTTTGTCTGTCTTATCAGAAAAAAATACTGCAGAGATGACTACTTTTGAATGACTCTGATTCTTTTCCTTTTGTTTCGGTTCAGTCTGTGAACTAACAATTCCAGTCTTCCCTAGTTCTTCTTTTTGTTACTGCTTAAGTCTGACAGGCAGAACTGATGAACAAGTGCCATGCAATTATAACAGCTAAATAAGGAGAAGTGTTAAAAGTGTGCCTTCAAACATTAACCAAGAGCCTTAACTTGGCAATCTGGCCTTTTTTGTGGTGAAACAGGAACCTTCACCACTGGATTTAAACTTCAGGAGCCAACCTACTACTAACCATTTGTATTGCAATATGGCCTTGCTCGAGATGGGAGCAGCACTTTGCTAGGTTTGAAGAGCACACATGTAATAATAGTTCATACCCCACAAAGCTCACAGGCTTAGCATGCACAAGGCAAGAGAAGGCTAATGAAAACAAAAAAGTCAGGCCCCAAAATGAATCGAATTGGGGAGGCAATACACAGTGCTCTCAGCACAGCGACAGCTTGACCAACATCAAGTCTTCTGTAGGCATCACAGCAGAGGGGATGTTATAACTGGTGTCAGGCTGCCAGGTGATTAACAGGTCAATTAGGAGCAATCCACAAAGAGCCTAATGAAGATGTACAAGGAAAGCAAAGTGCCTGGATTTGTTTTTTTTAAACTCCGGTTTGCCTTAGGGGAGTCTTCTTTCCAGGCTTGACTAAGGGAAACAGTTTAAGTACTTCACTAACAAAAATTAAGCCCCCCAGAAGCACGAGGTAGTTGCTCTTCTATATGGATCTCACTGTATGCAATGGTGGTGTCCTGTGGTCTGGGAAATATTACGATCTGACAGCAGTGAAGCCTGAACACAGACACCTCATTACAGTCCTTTGGCTACCAACAGCCCTAGAGATAAGGGTTTTTTTGGGATATCTTTTACTGGATGAGCTGCAGAAGGGTACTTGATGTCTGAAAGCTTGTCCAGGTATATAGTTGGTTCAATAAATATCACACAAAAACCCTTTCCTCTCACTCTTGGACCATCATAGCTACAACACCACACCAGCCCTACTGCCAATAGCGCCACGTTTAGCTTGTTTTGTCCCCTGCGGATGAAACTACTGGTCTCTTTGTGACCACCTGTTTTGTATTTAAAAACTGTGATCAGATATCCTGTTAGTCTTTCCCTCCTCTGGACAAAATGGTCCCAGTTTTTCCAATCTGCCAGGCTGCCATCCCCTCTACTTGTAGGAGTTTTAGGGAAGAGAGCAGAAATTCATGATAGATATTTCTTGACCAGGTCCTGAGGAAGGTCATTTTGTATCTGAAATCTTGCCTTGCCTATGCTGATCCAACAAAAGATATCGTTTCACCTCGCCAATCCGGCCTCTCGCCTGTTCCTTGGACCATCCTGGCTACAACACCATGACAACACTGTGGAAGACATCAAAATCTGCTATTTCAAACAGAAACTTTACAGCGCGAAGAAGAAAAGAAGCCAAGGCACACAGCGACATCAACTTCCTAAGCTTTTGCAGGAAACAAAGCATCTTTCCCCGAGGACTTACCGTCCTCAACAACATTGCATGCCACATGGGGAGAAGATTTCTGGCAGTCCTTAATCTAGAAGACAAAGGCACGGCGTGATCCAATAGCTGGAAGCTAAGACAACATCGGACCGGAAATAAGGCACAATTTAACAGCGAGGGTAAGTAACCACTGGTGCAACTTACCGCTTACCTAGGGACGGGATGGTTTCTCTGACACTCGAGGTCTTTACAGTAAGACTGGAGGTCTCTTTCAACACGATAGTTCTCCGCCTCGTTGGACGTCCACAGTGCTCCCTCTGGTCTTCAGACCGATGGGGAAGACGCTGATCCTCCACGAGGCACAGCAAAGAGCTCGAAGCTAGGAATAGGGGGTGCTCGGGTGGTCTAAATCACCCGTGTGCCCAGGATCTATGTCTGCCGCTCACTGGCTACCGCTGGCACAGACCCCCAGCACCCTTACTCCATGCAAACACCCCTGCCTTTCAGAGGCCTCCTTTAGCACCCATCCCTTTGGCCTAGCCTTCCACCCCAGTCTTTGCTGCAGACTTCACAGCACGTTCAGTTAAAGTCAGGCTCCACAGACACACTAAGCAAAGGCGCATGCAGCATTGGGCACGTCCTACAACCTGCTGCTGCTCGATCTCAGCTTTCCATGAGCAACCCACCCCGTGTTTATGGCTGCCTCTTGCTGCGTTAATATTAAATAGGATCTCTTAGGCCCAGAGACCTGCCTGTTGTTCCATTGATAATACGCTGTGTTCACCTCTGGTGCTATACACAGAGTACATAAAAAGCAGCCAGCTTTGCCTTGGAAGGGCAGGGCTTCCCACCGTCACTTGAAGCTACTAGGAGGACAGCACTCAGAAGGAGCACATTGACCCAATTGCACCCACATTTCCCACCTTTACAAGTGTGGCAAGTTGGCTTTGAAGTGCCCCTGCTGACCACTGGATCTGCCTGTGTCAGCTGCTCAGTTTAGGCCTGGGACGTGCAAAACAAACCAGGTCTTTGCTGAAGACAAACTTTCACATGAGCCAAACCGGGGGGATGTTCAATCTGGACCCTGAATCAGGCGCCGCATGCTGTCAGGCCCCTCCTGCGGGTGGACAACCATTTACATATAAACTACAACTGAGCAGACCCTAAAACACTCAGACCTAAGTGCCACATGCATTTATTAAATGCATGAGGATGCCCTGCTTACCAAGGCTAAGCCATTTCAAAGGAGGTTTGTGCTGAAACTAAGTCAACACGCAGACATAGTACAATGTTTTATCTCGGTCCTCTCGCCTGCCTCCCCTCTTTTTAACTCTGCTCGTTCCTAAGTGATTTGCTAGACTATAAACCACAGGCACGGCGGAGAGACTGCCGAAGCCCAGGGCCAGCAGCAGGACTAGGCCATTTAACACCACCAGGATGCTATCATTGCCGCACCGTTATATTTTTTAAGGACTCAACTCTCCCCAACAGCAACAAAACATTAGGTAAAGAAAAAAAGAGGGCTGCTGTCTTGCTTTGATGAAGTCCTACCTCCCCGTTCAGGAGGGAGAAGAGCCAGGCAAACTCCCATTGAGGCAAGTCCCAGCCTCCTGACTCCCTTCTCCACTTGGGCTGATTTCTGCAGTCCCTTTCCCCAGTTAAAAGAAGATCATTTCTGGGTCAGAATGACAGGACTGGGCCTGATGACTGCAAACTGTCAGCATGGCCGTGGGCAGCCCAAGGTT